AGAGAGAAACACTGTTAACTGATGATATATGGAGGGGATAATAATCAATGTAATGAAACAAGCTATATGAATGGTTGAATGTGAAGCTGATGATGTGTCCTGTAAACTTTCATTCAATCCAAAATAAAAACATTTAATAAATTTAAAAAAAAGGTATGCTGTATGTGTGTGTATATATATTTTTTAAGTCGAGGATGTATATACGTGTACACACTTAAAATTTGCTTTTGCTAACAAAACACAATAAAAATGCAAGTTTATGGGACATACTAGAAATTAAAACCTTATGTGTATCAAAAGACTTTACACCTAAAGAGTAAAAAGGAAACCCACAGAATGGGAAAAACTCTTTTGCAATGACGCATCAGACAAGGGACTCACTTCTAAAATATATAGGAAACTACAACAACTCTACAAGAAAAAGACAAATAACCCAATTAAAACATGGGCACAGTACATAAACAGACACTTCACACCAAAGAGAAAATCCGGGCAGCCAACAATATGAAAAAAATGTTCATGATCACTAGCCATTAGAGAGATGCAAACCAAAACAACAAGAAGATATCATCTCACACTAGCAATAACAGCAAAGATCAAAAAAGTAGAGGACAAATAAGTGCTGGCGAGGATGTGGAGACTGGGACACTCCTGCATTGCTGGTGGGATTGCAAAATGGTCCAACCTCTCTGAAAAGCAATATGGAACTTCCTCAGAAGGTTGAAAATAGAAATACCTTATGATTCAGCAATTCCTCAAGAAATATGAGCCATAACACGAGTAGATATATGCACACCAATGTTCACAGCAGCACAATTTACAATAGCAAAAAGATGGAGACAGCCTAAGTGCCCATCAATGGAAGAATGGATAAACAAACTGTGGTACATACACACAATGGAATATTATGCTACCTTGAAGAACAAGGAACCTGTAAGCCACCACATAACATGGATGAACCTTGAGGACATCATGCTGAGTGAAATTAGTCAGTCACAAAAGGAGATATACTGCATAGGACCACTACTGTAAAAGACTAAGAAAAAGAACTACACTAAAAAGGGGGTTGCACGTGGGATTCTTTGCTGGTTACTTGTATATGGGGGTTGGAGGGAGGGGAGGGAGGGGAAAGGGGAGCACAGGGTAGGGAATAGACACAAGATAGTTTGGGTGCTAGGGAGGAGGGCAATACACAAGAAGGGGAAGGGGAATGGAAGAACAAGGCGGATAGGAAAACAGTTAGGCAGGTTTGCACGGGCTAAGTGGGACAGAGGTAAATAATGATGTATGCACAACCTTGGAACAACAGGGCTCTGAGATACAAGGATTGAGGAATTGTTTGAATGGGCAAAAGGAGGGAAATAATGTTTAAGATGCTTGGATGTCTTCTGAATCTTGGTTTCCCTTGCACACCATTATAAATAGACACTTTAGGGGGACAGGTAGGAATAGCCAAAAATATCACCAAAGAAAGCTTATAAGTCCATCTTCTGCCTATAACTGATTGGAATACCTAAAATGGGACTACAACTTGCCCAGTGAAGGAGGCTTCCAGTGGAGCCTCTACATTACATAAGACCATAGGTGGAATCCTGAACCCCTTCCAGAATCTTCTGAGGTGGGAAATTTCCACTTGAAAGGACAAGCAGACCAACCTGGAGCAGTCTAGCAGAACAGAAGATACTTCTTGAAAGAAAGACCAACAGGAAAACTATAAAACAATAACGGCAATCCAACTGACTGCTACAAGAACAAGCAAGTTGCTCACCCAGGAGACATCAAGGCAAACCCCCTTCGAGGACTAAGACTCAAGGGGAATACACAAGCAGACATGTGCTCTGACTGGTGACCACGTTGGTCACCGATAAGGGGAAGTGAGGGAAAAACAACAATGAAGCTGCAAGCTAAGTCCGACCACTTTCAATAGACCTTTGTGAACCCAGCTGGAGACCTGGTTGGCCAACAATATGGCAAGAGCTGAGGACTCTTGGGCCCAGAGTCAGTGACATAGCCACAGAGGACTAGAGTGGAGAGTGAAGTGTCCAGCTGATAAGAAGCAAGAGCATATGCATAAGAACACCCACACTTGCAGATAATACCCACTTGACCTGACTTCAATGGCTGGATGATTGGAACTCAACTAGAAGAAGAAGAGGAAAAAAAGTAATCTGATACATTTTGATGAACTTGACCTACACCTGTGGATGCAGTAGCTCAAAAGAGGGAGCAAATCTTTACAGCAAGGATCATCCCCACCCCCTCAATACACAGGGTAGACAGGGATGAGCAACTTGGATATTGGCTACCCAAAGTCGGGGGGCCACAAAGGCAAGAAGCGACTGGCTTACAAGCTTTCAAGAGGGAGCCTATGTCCAGAGAGCATGGAGGAAGGTAGAATCTCCATTGAGTAGTATCCAATTTGTCTGGGCAGGGCTGATGAAAGGAGATGGGGCTAAGACTCTTGTGTTACAATTAGGAAGGGAGCGGAGCAGTCTAGGAGCAGAAGTCCCTGGGACCATCAAGGGAGAAGAGTAGAGTTTGGGGCCCTACCCAGAGAAATGTCAGAGTAACACCAGAGATGGAGGCAGAGACAATGACATGGAGAGATAGGGACTCTGGACCCCGAGAGGGATGGGGGCGTATGCTGACGACCAAGGGGCAGGCTTGTGGGGTATATATATCCTTTGGTTGATTGATGATGCACGGAGGGGACTGTAACCATGGCAATGAAACGATACACGAAAGGATGAATGTAAAGCTAATGTTCTCCCAAGTAAACTATCACATAATTCATAAAACATTTTAAAAAAAGAATGTTAACAAAAGAAAAAAAAAATGAAAAAGAAATGTTAATTCCTCCCTTTCAAACAGAGAATGCAAATCATGGAACACTGGCCTATCCCCCCTTAGAGATCTGCAGAGTGTGGCTTTGTGCAATAACTACCATGGGCCCTCTGGAACCTGGTGGTCATTCCTACCTACACCTGTTTGAGGTCATGTGGTTACTGGGGACTAGCATACAGACATGAGCCCACCTCTCCTGACTACAGGTCCTCACACCGCCCACTCAGAGGACTCAAACTCTTAACTGACCGTTCATCCCAGGCCAGAGCAAGTGACAGCTCCCGCAGGAGATGAAATCATCTGTACGCTTTTCTATTTTCTAGCCTCTCAGATGGTGCCAAAGCGCAGCCACTGGCGTTTCCCTTCCTTGGCTAACAACTGACTGTAAGGTCTTCTACATTGTCTCTATTCTTAAAGTTCCATCTAGAAGTACATACTTTTGTGTCGAGGTCTGAAGTGCCAATGATCTGGGCCAGCCCACATCGACATGGTGCGAGGACTGAAATAGGAATATTCTCCAGGCTTCATGGATAGAAGGGGGCACATAGTCCTAATGTCTCCATCCCCAAGGGGAATGATATCGTCTTCCCTGTAATATACATGAAATTGGAATGGGTCACAGATAGGAAACTTATGATGTATTCGAAAACAACTACCTACCCACTTCACAAGTAAGCAGTATATGTACAAGTAAGACAACATAAGGAATTCATCACCAATAATCCCTTATTTTTTACTTTTCAAAGGACTTTCACTTCACTGAATGTACAACTGATGATCTGTCCTATAAACCTTCACTCAAGTCACAATAAAAAGTATTTTTTAAAAAGTGCTCTCACTTTTATTAATTTTATGACAAGATGATCGTGTCTAGACAAGTAGTTCGGCTGTTTCAAAGTGTTTCATAAAATGAAACTCTACCCATATGAGAGATAAAAAGAAAACGGTGAAATTAAGTTTTCCTATAAGCTGACACGGCTGTTAGAGTGCTAGTGCTGGCAGTTGGGCACGAGTCCCTGGCTCCCAGCTTCAGGGTCGCTCCCAGTCAACACTTTCTTCCTATCATACAGAATGATAACCCCCTCATGCTTTCTTCACCCCACTGCCATAAGCAAGGGTCCTGCAGATACTGTTGTAGTCCCTACCAGAAGTGAAAAAGATGTTATTCTGATTTACAGCTTTAGCCTCCCAAATTACTGTCCCCTAAAAACTATCTGTTAGGTCAGCTAATTTTTCTTTGCTGTCTATGAAATGTGTAATTGACCAGTCTAACATGAAAGTTTGGTTTTGTTTTTCACCCTTTCTACAAGGTACTAGAACATTTGAGGCAGCTTTATTATAAACAAACCTTTGACTTGTTAGAAAACACCTTAGTGCTACTACAAAAAGAAAAATTTCCTGTCATCAAGTCAATTCTGATTCATAACAACCCAGTATAAAGTTTCTGAGGCTATATATCTTTATAGGAGCAAAAGTGTCATCTTTCTCCCATTGAGCTGCTGGTGGGTTTGAACTGCTGATCTTGTGGTCAGCAGTCCAGTGCTTATCCTACAATGCCACACCAAGGTTCAGTGATGCTATACTGTCCTCTAAAGATAAAGATAGCATAGGACACTTCAGACTGGGAGGGGTCTTATACTTGTATTGAACCATAGATATATATCTCCTATACATCAAACCCTATGGAATTAATTAATAATGCTTTAAAGGAGAACTTTGATTTTATCTATAGTTTTATTTTAAAAACAAAGAACAGGATACTATATTTGTGTATTTACCGTGCACTTGGAGTCCTGGTGTGGTGCAGCAGGATAATGCGCTGGACCACAAGGTTAGTTTGAACTGAAAGGTTAGTGGTTCAAACTCACCAGTCACTCCTTAAAAATCCTATACAGGGTCGCTATGAGTCAGAACCAACTCAATGGCACTTAACAACAACAACTGTGTGCTTAAAACTTAATTTATAGTAAGAACCACATTGCTATCCTGTCAGATGACCTAGCGATATAACAGAACCTGATGCCTGTTGTGGGTGTTAAGTGTCATCATCTTTGCAGGAGCAGAAAGCCTCACCTTTCTCCCTTGGAGCGGGTGGTGGGCTCAAACTGCCAACCTTGTGGGTAGCAGTCCAGTATTTATTCTACAGAACCAAAGGATTCTACCAGATGCCTAGCCTACGTTATTAAGTAATAAATATATACTGATTTCTGAAAAGAGCCCTGGTAGCGCTGTAGGAGAAACACTGGACTGCTAACCACAAGGTTGTTAGTTCAAACTCATCAGCTGTCCCTTGGAAGAAAGGTGAGGCTTTCTGCTCATGCAAAGAGGATGGCACTTAACACCACCACTAACAGGCACCCAGTTCTGTTATATCGCCACGTTTGACAGTATAACAATGTCTCAGAAACCCTATAGAGGGCAGCTATGGAATCGACTCAATGGGAGAAAAAGGGTGGGGTCAGTAACAACCACACTAAATTCTCAGGGGTCTTCTGTTAAAACTTTGACAATCAGGCTGGGACTTTATTGAGAACTTTTAGGCTTCAATTCTCCCCAAGAATCTGTGGAACAGGCTCTGAAGGCTAGAATTCTAACCACTGAAAATTACCTTCAACACACAATGTTGTGTGGCAGGCATCCTACTAGTTCAAGTTTACCACTCAACAACTAACTAACCCAGTTAACAGTCAACCTGCCTTCAAGGTCTGCCCACTCCATCAAGCTTCTCTAACTCCCCTCAGTGGGAATGCTTCATTTCCCAGCCACAACTGAGCACATTATCCTAGTACCTAGGGCTGGTTTCTAGCACACAGCAGAATGCCACCTGGTTCCTGTGTGCACCGACTATGTCTTTAACAACAGTGAGAAGCCTCAGATGGGCATGCCCTGCAACACCCAAGGATCAGCTAGAAAACACATGGTTCCAATGCTGCAGGCAAAGGAGCGCACACTGAGCTGCTTGTAGACATACTGGGCTTTATCAGACACTGTATATACTCCTCGGAGCACACCATTTCTTAACACCACACACAGCTGTTCAAGTGCTGCCACCTACATGATGCCCTTAAATATCTTTCAGTATAAGAGAGTGGTTTTCAATCCTGGATGAACAATATAGTCACCCAGGGAAATTTCAAAAAATAGTAATGCAGTGCCTGGCCTAACTCCTAGAAATTCTCATTACCTTGGTCAGGGGTGGAGCCTACACATCAAAGTTCACTAAGTACATTCAGGATTGGTTACATGTGCTGAGTGACTCCCAGTTCCACTGCATTACCTAACCTCTCCCAGACTGTTTTCACATCTGTAAAATGGGAATAACAGGACCTAGTTACAGGGTTATTGCCAGGATTAAATAATTACATTTTATGGACAAATTGTAGATAAAGAACATAAACCTCCTGCCCCTAATATACTCAGGAGGATGAATTCTAGGGGAGAGAAATTTCTTCAAAGTAACCAACAAACGGAATCTTCCAACAAAAAAATTGAAGCAATTAAAGTCCTCTGCTTTCAGGTTACTCAGATGTCACCTCTCTGTTTAGGAAAAGTGACAGCTCTTCACTGACATTAGAAAAAGGAATTAAAAGCTCGCCCACCCGCCATTTCTCATGCCTTTGATGGGATGGGAGCAGAGGCAAAGCCACGGTTACCGTCTTGGCACAAATCAGGAGAGGAGATCTTGGATGGGCAATTTTGCCTTGAGATACCAAATGTACCCTAGATTTCTAGCCTGATTTGAAAAGACATTTTCAATCTAATGTACTCCCACAGGATACACAGGAAGAACTCCCTTATCCTGGAGACACTCAAACGGTGTTCTTAATGGGAGTTTGGCCTTCTAAGGCTTTACTCAAATGGACCCAGTTTAGCTGTCCCCAGTCCCAGCCTTACAAAGCTCCTATTATAAGTACAGGAGTCATTATAGGAGTATTTGTTCTAGTCCCATGGTATCCCAAGCCCTCCATGATCATTTAAGGCCAACAACACTAAAGGATTATGGGACCCCATTTTCAAATCATATTGAAAGTTAAGTCATTACTAATCTATGAAGTACATATTATAAAAGTCAACAAAGTTCTTTTTTCTGAATATGCCGCTAATGGAAATTTTAAATGACTATCAAATTCTACCTCCCTAACTAATAATATACTCAATTCTAGTTCTTTTTTTTAGGTTTCCTGCCTGGTAGTCCAATCCTGCCTGCTCCACCACTTTGCTTGACTGGTCAGGCAGAAACCACTTTTTATGTGAACAACATATAGGTCTGCCTCTGTCCATAAATGATATGGTGTGATATATTCAAAAGCCAGACCAAGTGCAGTATGCAGAAAGGGAGTGGGCCCGGCTTCCAAAATGCAAGTGCCTTAACAAACAGCAACCACTTAAGTAGCTACTGTACTGGAGTCCAAATGTGGTGCCACTAGGTAACCACAAGGTTAGTGGTTCAAACCCACCAGCTGCTCCTTGGAAACCCTATTCAGGGTCACTACAAGTCAAAACCAAGTAGATGGCGCTTAACAACAAAAATACTGTGGCACTGTAGGATTAAGCACTGAACTGCTAACTAACTGTGAGGTCGGTGGTTCAAATCCACCAGCCACTCCTTGGAAATACAGAGTCACTATGAGTTAGAACCCACTCAGTTCAATATGAGTAGTAACCAAGTCAACGGCACTTAGCAACAATCTCCAAGGCAAGGAGCCCTGTGGAAAATGACGTGATTGATAACATCTTTTAAATCAGGGTCAAAATCTCGGGGGCTGTTGGACATTTGGTACCTCCAAACAAAGTGTCCATCCAGGACCTTCAGCACTCTCCTCTCCTGATCCAAACCAGTAAGATAAAAGTGGCTTTGTTCCTGCTCCCATTCCATCTAAGACGTGAGAAGTAAACAGGCCCCTAACTGCAAGGTCAGTGGTTCAAACCCACAAGCTGCTCCTCGTGTGATAGATGAAGCAGTCTACTCCCATAAAGATTCACAATCTCAGAAACTATATATTCTTTGCTATAAGTCAGAATTCACTCAATTTCAAGTGGGTTAATATCCCAGGTATATTTCACCAACACTTTACATATTTTAATTCAAGTTCTCACCAACTCCTGCTATCAGTTTTATCCTTTATACTGGCTGAACCAACATTCAAAGGCAGATGTATGATTACACTGTGAGTCACAAAAGTTCAGCTGGTACACACACTACAACACAGCAGCCTGCCAATCAGAGATGCAATTAGCAAGAAATGTGGTGAGGATGGATGAAAAATTCCTATGGGAGCCTTACTGGCAGCTCTGAACCTGGCAGGGCTCCTGCCAGCTTCTGAACTCGTCGTGATTCCCAACTGTGGTGTGGTCGGGTTCATCGTGGGCATCAAAGTCGTCCTCCAGGGGCCCGTCAAGGAAGTCCCCGCAGTCACTCTCCTCCACCTCAGCGTTGACATCAAATACCTGGTCATTCTTCTTAAACTTGTCTACCAGGGCTGACACAGACTGAAGGGAACAAGAAGAGGGTCTTCAGGAGCTCTCATTTCCATAGCCCCCTCTCAGCCAGCCCTAGGCAGCCAGACCTGGAGGAACAGCCTGCCTACAGCTCTCTCCACCAGCCCTCCCCTCTCCTGAATCAGTGTTCTCACGATGGAGAGTACTGAGGAAGTTTATATTGTGCAGCACAGGATGAAGCTGCAGCATTGGCAGGCACATTTTGTAAACCATGAAACAGAATCTAAATCCATTAACTACATGTTTAGAGAAAACAATTTTCCATGGAGACCATTTATTTTTGATGTTGTAGTAAGTAGGGCAAAGGGGGTCATGCTAAAAATACACAGAGGAAAGTTTGACACATAACAATTTCTCAGGAAGTACTGAGCCAAGGGAGTTCCTTCACCCCAAAGAACAGGAAAGGCCTTGAGCTTGATGGCAAGCTCAAGAGTAAATCTGAAAGCCATGGTCCGCGATGGATGGCATGGCTGCCTTGCCCTGGGGAAGCAGAGAAGGGACATGAAATCGATCCCAGAATTCACCTAGTTGTATACTGGTCCTGCTGGGGTTCACAACCCCAGCCCTACACCCACAGGCTTTTGTCCCTACAGAAGTGCCAAAGGAAATATTTTCTGTACTCCTGGCTAAATAAAAGTAATGCCACAGAGTTTTGGTTCTCATTGGGCAGAACTAATCTTGGGCCATCTAACCAAAACCACGAGCCACTGGAGAAATGCCCAGTGCCCTTGTAAGTCCAATAGCTGACCGCACCTCATTATGTGTCTCACTGTCCCACTTTGTAAACTGGAATCCGTCCAGGGAGGGGCAGATCTGGCGACTTTCCACACACTGCTGTAAGGGGGCTAGGGAATGACAGAAAGATCAGAGACAGGGATTAGAGGTAGGTCAAGTTCACTCTCCATTCCTCTCAAAACACCACCAGGCAGCACAATGGAGCTCCCAGGCACACAGCCACATTGATCTTCTCTCACTGGCTGGAGGGCTGCAAGCCAACCTCTGCATCTCCTGGGAATGTGCAGATGCACCAGCCCACACCCACAGTAGAGTCAGACTACACATCATCATCCCGAGAATCAGGAATAGACAGAATAATCCTGAAGTGCAGACATTTCCTATGGAAATAAACTTGTACCCTACACTATAGTCAGTGGATCAAACACTCTTCCTTAAAATGCACGAAGTACATAATCATTCCTGCAATGCCTCATATCTTTAGTCCCAAACTCAATTTGCTATAGTTCTAATCCTCTGAGGAGAGAAGCAGAGAACTGAAAGGTTGCAGGTGACAGACTGAGTCTAGAGAGCCCCGGGGGAAATACTGGGGAGTGGGAGTTGGGAAGGAGGGGGAGATGGGGTTGGAAGGAGGATGGGCTGTGCTGTGTAGGGTCTGTTGTTGTATGGCTGTATAGTGCCATCAAGTCGGTTCGGACGCAGTGACCCTGTATAGGGTTTCCAAGGAGCAGAGGGTGAGTTTGAACAATCAGCTGGGCAGTTAACAGTCCAATGCTGATCATACAGTGCCACACCAGGACTCCTATAGAGTCTATAGTCTGGGCAAAGTAGACTCCTGGGAGTTTTAGGTCTTTTTTGTGTGATTAATAAAGAAAGTAGATAGAGGGCAATAGTGAGGATTGTTCTAGTGATCTCACAACAGATGGGTGTGGTAAGACTCAGAGCAGAGGGGCTACAGGGATTCCCTAGTCCTCAGAGGTTAGAGCCCTACCTTAGAGTACATAAACTTGGAAGACAGACTGTCAGCAAGGATTAGACAAGAACGGAAAGGGCAAACGTAGTGCCTTCTGGGAGTGGTACAGCAACATGTTGTAGCCCTGGAGGAAAAGGATCCATTTCACGCATCACATAAAAAGGATTACATTCACCTGTGCCTCGTCACAACATCCTTAGGAGATTAACCCCAGACTTGGGAGGCAGAAAGGTAGAATAGGAAGGGTATTAAAATTGTTTGTAAGCCAATGTAAGTTTTCAGACAGTCACAGAGTACTCTGAAAACAATTCAAAATGTCCTCTTTTCTTCAGGCCCCCTACACTGGTTTAGGTAGGAACTGGGCTTCTCAGGCCTGACAACTCTAAACTTTGACACTTAGCCCAGAGCCCCAATACATAAATGTGAGAACTCTAACTGGATATTTGAGCTCCGTGGCACATATAGGCCAAGGACAGTGGTGAGTGTTAGTTACTACTATCTTAGACTTCATGCTGCAGATAGGAAAACAAGTACTAACTTGGTAGGCACTCCCAAAAGGAGACCCAATTTGACACCTTCTGGGTGACTGAGACAAGCAGCCTAAGAGCATCATGGACTGATGGCAGCCTATGGTTACATAAGCACTTCTCTGATGACTGGAAGGCTCTGGTGAAAGGCACTGTTTGTACTTACCTTTTAAATCTGCCATTTCCACCCAACCTAAATCAGGCAGCTCAAGAGCTTCTCCAGTGGGGAGCATCTGCACGTCGGAAGGAAAAAGGAGCTCACTTCGATAGTCGTGGCAGTGGAGGGTAGAGAGAAACACCCCTGTTGTGCTGCACTCATCAAATGAGGCTGCAGTCCTCTGAAACATGGGGTCAATCTGAACACAACAACAGTGAAAGGTAACCAAAGGATATGTAGCAAAAGGAAATAGAATACCTCACTCATTTGGGCCCGGTTCATTGGGATAAGTGTTGGGCTGCTAACTGAGATACTGGTGGTTCAAACCCACCAGCTGCTCTGAGGGAAAAAGATGAGGTAGTCTGCTTCCATAAACATTTATAGCCTTGGACACTCTACGGGGCAGTTCTATGCTAGCCCTGTAGGATTGCCATGAGTCAGTATCAACTCAATGGCACTGGATTTGGGTATTCACAACCATATATTCTGGATTGCAACGCCTCTGCACATGAGCAACAAAAGGAGAAAAACATCTTCTAATTCATCAGGTAAAAGCCCATTCCAAAAGATACCATTTCAAAAGAAAGGCTGTATATGATCAGATTAATAAATGCATAAACTCAAATAGAAAATGGTAACAAATGTAGACTGCAGTATGGATTAAATTGTGTCCCTCAAAAATATGTGATATACATGTTAACCTCAGGTGACAGGGAAGGCAATACACAAGAAGAGGGATGTTGGCAGAAGAAAGATGAAGACACAGGGAGGAATGCAAGGGTTAAAGAAGATAAAGGTAAATACTGCTATATACACAACCCTGGACCAACAATGTTTTAAGGGTAGATACATGGACAAATACACAGACTAAAAGGGCCTGGGAGGGAGAGCTGAAGTATACCCACAAATACCCTTTGTACATGGGTATTACCTTTGCTGCAAACAAGCCTATGAATGTGGTGGAGCATACATGGGGGAAAAATGAGGAAAACTTCTTAGATATTATCAGACAGCTTAAAGAAATGAGTTGCTGGACCTGGGGGCTCAGGACCACAGTCTCAGGGGACACCACAGACATAACAGAGTGGTGCTGTGAGATAATGCACTGGACTGCAAGGTCAGCGGTTCAAATTCGCCAGCTGCTCCTCGGAAACCCTATACAGGGTCGCTATAAGTCAGAACCAACTTGACGGCACTTAAGTACAACAACAACAACAATAGTCACCAAAGACAATGTTCTACATCCTGCTTTGGTAAATAATGACTGGGATATTCAAAGCTCATAAATTGCCATCTAAGGTGCAACTATTGGTCTCTCCATGGACAAAAAACAGAGTGACAAAAATTGAAAATGCTTGGAATCAACTAGACCAATGGACCAATAGAACATGTGAACATCATTCTCCATGACTGTGAGACCAGAAGAATTAAATGGTACCCAGCTACCACTACCAACTGCTCTGAAAGAAATCCCTTTAAAAGGTCCTGAATAGAGTGAGAGAAAATGTGGAACAAAACTCCAAATTTTAAAAAATAAGATCAGGCTTACACGTCAGAAAGAGGCTGAAGGAATCGATCCTTGACCATCCTTCAGGTCTAGAACAGAATTCAAACTCCTGGACCAGTTTTCAGCTAAGTAGTAGATAGGCATATAGGGATGAGGGGGACAACACTAGTATGCTAGTATGGTTAGTAAGGTATGCTCTCCATGAAATGGTCAACAATTCAAAATCAAAAAGGCAACACTTATCTAAGGACAAAGTTGAGAAGGGTTGGGAAGAAGGGTGGAATGAAAATAAGAACCAAAGGGAGGAAGTGGGATAACTGTCGTTACATGAAGGAGACTGCAATCATTGAGATGAAATAAAGTGTATGATCTATTGAGTATAAAAGTGATGCTCTGTTCTGCAAACCTTAACAGGATTTACAATAAAAAGTTTTGAAAATCAAAAAATCCTTGCACTATAATACAGAGTAGACACTGAAGGGGGAGAGAAAGGAATAGTCAGAAACATCACACTAGAAGGCTTGTAAGTCCGTCTTCTGCCTATAACTGATTGGAATACCTAAACTGGGGCTACAGCGTACCCAGTGAACAAGGCTTCTTGTGGAGCCTTTGCAATACATAAAACTATAGGTAGAAACTAGAACCACATCCAGATCTCCAGAGATGAGAAATTTCCACTTGAATGGACGAGCAGACCAGCCTGGAGCAGCTAGAACAACAAAAAATACTTCTTGAAAGAAAGACCTACAGGGAAAATACAAAACAATAGAGGCAGAGGAACTGTTACTACAAGAACAAACAAATCGCTTCCCTAGGAAACATCAAGACAAGTGGTAGGGTCTTCTCAACACAAACCCCCTTCCAAGACTAAGACTCAACAGAAATACACGCTCTGATTGGTGACCACACGCATCACGGATAGGGGGAAGAGGGATAAAAGCAGCAATGAAGTGACAAGCTAAGCCTTACAATGTTCAGTGGGCTTCTGTGGACCCAACTGGGGACCTGCTTGGCAAGCAGTAAGAGGAGACCTGGGGACTCTTGGGCCCAGAGTTAGTGGCGTGGCCACGAAGGACTCGAGTGGAGAGTGGAGCTACCGGCTGATGGGAAGAGAGGGCATCGGCACAAGAACACCCATACTTGCAGATAGTACCCACGTGACCTGGGTCAATGGCTGGATGATCAGAAGTTGACTAGAAGAAGGAAGAAAAGGAAAAAAAAAAAAGAGCAAGCTGATACAATCTGATGAACTTGACCTATACCTACGGATGCAGAGACTCAAAAGAAGGAACAAATCCTTACAGCAAGAAACATTCCCACCCCCTCCACACAGAGTGGGCAGAGATGGGCAACTTGGACATTGGATACCCAAATGGTGAGGGGGGAACTACAAAGGCAAGAAGTGACTGGCTTACAAGCTTTCAAAAGGGAACCTAGAGCTAGTGGGCACGGAGGAAGGCAGAATCTCCAGTGAGTACTATCCAATCTGTCTAGGCGGAGCTGATGAAATGAAATACAGATGGGTAACTCGTGATACTGTAGTGAATGGTTATCAGGACTGATTATGAGGGTTGGAAGTGCAAAAGTAGACATTTTATAGCAAGGAAGGGAGCAATTATTTCTCCAGTCTAGGAGCAGAGGTCTCTAGGACCATCAACGGAGAAGAGCGGAGAGCGAAACCCTACCCAGAGAACCAGAGATCCCTGAGATGGAGACAGAGACGATGACGTGGAGTGATGAAGCAGCTGGGGACTTTGGATCCAGAGAGGGAGAGGGCCTGTGGGCAGAAGACTGGGGGCGGATGAGGGAGGGTAGGGGGCGGGTTTCTAGGATATACCCTTTGGTCAGTTGATGATGCATGAAGGGATTGGAAGGAACCATGGCAATGAAATGATATAAGATGGAATGAGTGTAAAACTAAAGTTCTCTCATGTAAACATGTAAACTATCATATAATTCACAATAAAACGTTTAAAAAAAAAATGTGTTGTAAATTCTATTCCCTATCAGAGTTATAATCGCAGTTGAGAATGGATCTTTTTTGTCATGTTAATGAAACAGTATTGTGTGGCAGTTGTTGTTAAGTGCAGTGGAGTCAGTTCAGACTGTTAGTGACCTAGTATAGGGTTTCTGAGGTAGATTTGAACTTCTGACCTTGTGGTTCAAAGCAACCCTGCATTAACCTACAGCGCCTTCAACCTCTTTTGAGAGAAAAAAGATCAGAGATGGGAGAAGATACATGCCACACCACATGAAGATCATAAAGGAAGCAAGGGACAGAGATGAAGAGAGAAAAGGACCTTCCCCCAGAGCTGACAGAGGGAGAAAGCCTTCCCCTGGAGCCAGAGCCCTGAATTGGAACTTCCATCCTCCTGAACTGTAAGATAATAAATGTGTTTGTTACAGCCATACAACTGTGGTATTTGTGACTGCAGCACTACAGAACTAAGACACTGTGTTGTTTGTTTGTGTAAACATTTCAAATGTTGAAAGCATTCTGGACAAGTATGCTTCTGCTGGTCTCTTTCCATAAGCCATTAGTCGGCTTCCACGAGTCTTTAAATGCTCAGTGCAGTGGAATACATAGGGAAGTGTGGTGGGGGACCCCAACAATACTGATGTTACAAAATCTGTTTAGGCTTAGACCTGCCTACCCTGCTGCCACCACACCAATATGAGTGAACTCAGCAACACCCCCTCACTTTCTTAACTCCCTGTACTCACCACTTCCTTCGGCTATGAGACCACTAGGGCAATTCTCACTATTGCCCTTTACCTAGTTTGTTTATTATCACACAAAAAAACGACTCAAGACCCCCAGGAGGCTACATTCCACCAACTTATCCATAACTTTTGTATACATCTCCCTTATGGTACTTTCCCTGGGGCTCTCTAGATTCGGTCAGTCCTCAGCAACAATACCTTTATCTGCTGCTTCTCTTCCCAGTCTAACTCATGTATTCTCAGTGGGGGCGATAGCACCCTCAAGAAGGTGAAAATTGATTCTGGCGGGCAATCTCCTTGAAAAAACACTGAAGACATTACGATGATCTGTGGCTCTCCAAATCTCAAACCTACTTAACAAAATCCTATTTCTTATTACACAATTTCAATGAACAAAATGTCTGAAAAGCTCCTTCTAAAAACCTACTGCTGGCATCTATTCCAACTCACAGTGACCCTACAGGACAGAATAGAACTGCCCCAAAGGGATTCCAAGGCTGTATATATTTACAGAAGCAGAATGCCACATCTTCCAAGTGGCTGGTGGGCTCAAACCACTGAACATTTGCCTAGCAGCTGAGCACTTTGGCCACCGATCCACCAGGACCCCTTAGGAGGAGCAATACTAACAAAGACTAAGAAGCACTATCTAAACTAACAAGGGGCTCTCACAAGGACATTTCGTCTCCAGCAGCCTTCTCTAGTTGGGGCTGCTCCTCTTCTTAATCCTCCAGTCACTGGGGAGAGAAGTGAGGTAGGTGATTTCCTGGCTCCTCATGCAGCTTCCAGACTATTCTCCTTCCCAATTACTAAATACTCTCAGCTTTGAATATAACTAGACTTTACCACTGTCTTCCTATCTGTGTCACAATCATCTTCCAATCCCCTGAAGACAGTCCTATGCCCCTTCTTTGAAGACTGAGTGTTAGCTCCTTACTTACTACTCTTCTCCAACTTTACTCCTGTCACAATTTGAGAGGATTCCAATATCCATCCAATGCTCCAGTCTCTCAGTCACTTAATACCCCTCAATGCTCTTGACCATCACCCAAAGAACTCTAGATCTCTGAGATCCTCATGCCTTAGTCTCGTCACCCTTTTATCTATCCCCTTGCCTGGTCCCTGAACTATGATCTCAACCATGATTACAATCTCCCCATAACCTCAACTCCAAGTGTTACTTTCTTACAATGATCTTCTACATTTCTACTTCATGCTTCTTATTCCTACAGTCCGGTCTTTGACTCTCAGAAAGACTAAAATCTACTAATTGCATCATTTCCTGTCCCTCACCCCACTGTGGCAGTTAAAATTCCCTGAGCAATGATTATAACCACTTCCTTGTACATAGTTTTACCTCCACTACCCCTTTCTAGCTAAGTCACACTCACTCCAACAGAGACATTCCTTTGTCAAATCCATCTTTCTGCTTATTTCATGTATGTACCACACAACTAACTAATCATGGCCGGAGAAAGAAAGTCATACTGACTGGTCTCACTTTAAATTCATCCACCACTACCTTTAAGTGAATCCTAAGCGGTTCGAAACTACCAGCCGCTCCGCGGGAGAAAGGTGAGGCTTTCTACTCCCGTAAAGATTTACACCCTTGGAAACCCTGTACAGGGTCGCTATGGGTCGGAACCGACTCGACTGCACTTAACAACAACAACAACAAGTGTTGTCTGGAAACCAAACTGCATTTCTTAGTCTATCCCTTCAGCTACACCTAGAAGACTCTTTCCTCCCTTCCTCTCGCCCTGAACCTCCAACACTTCCCTCCCCTATATTCACTGCCAATTGATGACATAGCTTCCTATTTTACTAGAAAACCCAAACCCAACCAGACCCACTGCCATCAGGTACATTCCAACTCATAGTGACCCTACACAGGGCTTCCAAGACTGAGCATCTTTATCTTCCGCAGAGGGGCTGGTGGGTTTGAACCGCCAACCATGCAGTTAGCGGTCTAACACCTAACCACAGGGCTTCACAACTACAAAAGGATATCCAGAATGTGCTCCCACATGTGCACCCTCAAACTCATCCCCTACTAGCCACTAGTACTCTTCAGCCAAGCTCCACTTCTGCTTCCATTCCTTTCCCTTACCTGCTCACACCAGCAACTCTCCTTTCTTTTCTACATCATCAACAAACAAACTCTTGCCATTAAATTCTCCCGATAAAAAACAAACTAACAAAAACTCACTCAACCTTCCTTCCTTCCTTCTCCATTGTCCATTACTCTGCTCTCATTTATAGGGAAACTCTTCAAAAGAACTGCCTGTACTCAGTGTCTTCAGTCCTGTCCTGCCAGTTCTCTTCCCATTTATTATCAAAAATGGTAAACCTACAAAAATGTTGAAAGAATATTAACATGAATCTCTGTAACTTTAACCTAGATTTGCTAATTATTAATACTTTGCATATTTGCTTTCTCTAACTCTCCCTCATCTCACCCCCCTACCCCAACATACCCACATGCCCATGCATGCGTGTGTTGACTGACAAGGCTGATCTACTCCATCTCCCTGAAACACTTCCTTGTTTGCATGCCACACACTTTTGACTTATTCTCTTACCTACTGGAGGTTTCTCCTTTAGCTCTTTAGATCAGGATATCCTAAAATTCAGTCTTTGGGCTTCTTCTCTTTTCTATATGAGGGGACTTCCAAAAGCTCGTTGGAAAATTCCATTATCTCTTAATTCCATGTTTCCATTTTTTGAAGCCCCCTTGTATACTCATTTCTTTGGTGACCACTCCCAGTCTAATGACTTTAATCACTCATGATGGGTGTGGAGGCAAGAGGACAAAGTAATCTAGTCCACTATCGGTGACTAGATGGTACAATAATTTTTAAGAGTAACTGAAATTCGATGCTTTAGAGTTTCTACAGACATATTCTCCCAAGAGTACAAATACACACAAGATTATACTGAATCAATGTATGTTCAGCAAAACAAAACAAAAAAACTGCAGCCACACCCATTTACTTTAATTAAACTATATTAATTACAACTGAGGTCTTTCTTTCCACACCCTTTCTTCAAGCACATTCCTTGGGTCATTTAGAAGAAAAACTCTGGAGTCAGATGACCTAGCTCTTGGGCAAATTACTTCACAGCCCTGCACCTTGGTTATTGCTACATAAAATGTCCCAAGTATGCTGTGAGGACTACTGAGTCAACATAGGTCAAAGGCTTAAGGTAGCTCATGGCAACCAGTAAGTGCATAGTAAATGCTAGCTATTCTCACTGCTGCTAGCTCTCCAGGAGTCCTGGGGTAGTGCTGTGAGTTAATGCATTGGACTGCAAAGTTGCTTTGAACTGCAAGATTGGCGGTTCAAGTTCATCAGCTGTTTCTCAGAAACTTTCTACAGGGTCACTATGGATTGGAATCAACTCTGAGGCACTTAACAACAACAATTTCTCCTAGGAAATAAAATTAATTCTATAATCGATCAGACGTCAGCAATTTGCCATTTCTTTCTAGTCCATCATTCTGATACACTGAGAGAAAAACAGGAATTGAAGAGTCCTGGTGTGGCCCTGTAGGATAAGCACTGGACTGCTAATCACAGGGTCAGTGTTTTAAACCTGCCAGTAGCCGGTTCCTCGGAAACCCTATACAGGTTCTCTAAGAGTTGGAATTGACTTGATGTCAGCGAATTTAGTTTGGTTTGAGGCTTAAACAAACAGCAGGCTTAACCCTGCCAAGCATTAGACCCTGAGGTTCTAAATGAGTCAGAGACCATGCTGTACACAGTTCCTCACCTCACATTTTCGATCTGCTTCAGGGGTATTGAGGTTGTTAACATTCTGCTCGATGGTTTTGTATAAGTGTTTCTTTTTTGGCTTTGGTGCTTTTTTGGCTGTTCCCATTTCAGTAACACTTCCACCTAAAAGAGGAAATAAGCGTGTAAGGGATGTGAGCTGCTTTGGAGCACATAATTGAAATGATCCATTCAAGTTCTTCAGAAACCTAAAGAGTGAGCATAATCTAAATATGCAAATTCTCTCAAAGCAACAGGGCCATCTACTCTGCAGCTCAGAAGAAAATCTACAGTGAAACATGTGAAAGCCAGAACACATCAGGACTTACTTGGTTTTCCAGGTCTTATAACCTTTGACAGGATGCATTCTTACACTTTTCTATTGCTCTCTCATAGCACAAAAACTGAGTTTTCCTTCTTTGGTAGGTTTCCACCTTGAACAAGTTCCTGGTTTCACAGGATTTACTGTACTAGATTAATTATTTGGCTTCTAATACAAATCAGTTTTCAAAGACCTCCACATCAGAAGCTTCCAAGTTGGTGATATATACCCAACTTTGCCTAGATAAAATCTAAGAACCTTAGAAGGCCTTTTTTCTCTTTTCCAAGAAAAAGAATTAGTATTTGAGTAGTCTCATGCAAGACCATATACAATTCTGAAAATGTCCATGAGATGATCAATTTCTTGTGATTTTATGCCAGTATATCACTCAAATAGCTACCTGCCATGCCCCAAAAGTGGCCCGTGAAATCCAAAGCCCAACCTGCAAACACACCTGTACCAGAGCTCTCCATTTCTTCAGGAGCATCTTTGCCTAATCCGCCAAGGACTCTGTACACATCGGCATGAACAGCATCCACACGCACTGCGTAAATCTTGGTGCTGGCATCCAGTGTGCCAGCAGCTACCTAGTCAAACAAGCAAAGCTATCAGACTCATGAGGAGATACACAAACCTATCTCTGAACAGATAAAACAAAGTAAGCTGTGAAAATGCTTATTTGGTTTCCTTGAAGAGAGAAAAAATTGACAAGAATTCCATGAACAATGGTATGGAATAAACAGAATCTAACACACAGATAGCTTCTCTGCATTTCATCAGGCTAGGAAACACAATGAGGCAGCTCACAATGTCTTAAATAGAAAAGGTTCTTGTGTACTTGCAGAATTCAAGCATTAGAAATAATCATCATTACTGCCGACGCAAGATAGTGGACATGCTTCTTACTTTAAAGTTGGTCAGTTCAGTGTCTTTCTCTTTAAGAATCTCTGACATAAAATCAATCAAGTGCAAGCCAAAAGCATTCTTGGTAGTGATTTTCTGAAAACAAAAAATTGCAGAAAGATGTATTATTTAAAGCCTAAGCTCACGTAGATAATGTTACCCTAAATAGAAGAAGCTAAAATTTTATATTAGGAATATTCTACATAATGCCTCTGATCTGAATTCCCAGAACACTTGGCAACGTAGCCCAATCCACACATATGCTCCTCTTCATTCTCAAGGTCTACATAAGGACAGCACAAAATTCCCAAGCGTCCATAGTGCACAGGCCCTGTTCTAAGCACTGCACATGAAGGGGCTCAGACACTCTCAGAACAACTCTAGGAATTAGGTATTAATCTCATCCTCATTTTACCCCAGGACTCTGGGGCAGAGTGGCTGGGTAACTTGCCATGGTCACAAAGGTTATACGTAAAAGAGACAGGACTTTGCATGGAGGGGATTGTAACCATGGCAATGAGACGACATACGATAGAATGAATGTAAAACTAACGTTCTCCCATGTACACTATCACATAATTCACAATAAAACATTAAAAAAAAAAAAGAGACAGGACTCTGACTCAGGCAATCCAGTTGCAGAACTCACACTACTAATCCCACACCATACTGCCTCTCTAGGTATACTGCAGGTGCACACACCTGGTGGGGGAGCACCAAAGGTCCATAGGAAACCACAAAAGCATACTGAAAAATAACAGCACTGAGTCACTGAGAATAAGATTACACAATTAGCAGTGATCATGCATTCTCTATCGAATCAAGAAGGCCAAATCAAGTTGTTAATCTTCAGTAGTAAGCCAACAGATACTCACATTTTCTGCAGATAATTTTATACAGGTGGAGTAATGCTCTGTGATCTGTGTGTTTGTAAATTTAGAGATTGTAGCTGAACTATCAATACTCCTAAATGGAAAACAAACACAGAAAACTTTAGTAAGGATCCATGACACTATAACTTTTTAAAACCCAGGCCCACATAGTTATTAAGGAGATGCTAGGATACAGGTTCCCATGTCAAAGTGGCCACCCCAAGGGGAGCCAGCCCAGAAACATACTCACCTACTAGAGGGAGAGGTTAACAAATGAGGTGAGTCTGTGCTGAACTGCAGGTCAAGGACCCTGGAGCGCCTCCGTTGCAGTCGCTCCTTTTCATCATCATTCTGTGGAAAGTCTTCAAGAATCGGGGTGCCAGGAGTACTAAGAGGGGCCTTCCTTGGCAGAGGCATTGAGAAGACCCGATCCGAAGGTGAGGTGGCACTATGGGGGAGTTCATTGGTCTCTGAAGCAGAGTTGTTCATTGTAACTGAGAGCAATAGAACAAAATACTTGCTCAAGCAAACTTCAACAGAATATTTCCTATACCAACCAGGGGGATGGAGTCTGTAACAGGGATGGACATTCACTGCACTTCCCCTGCAAGTATCTTTTCCAACTCCGACACTCTATGACTAGACCTTGAGTTTGGGTTTCTTGGAGGATGATAAGTTTCTGTTGTTTCCTTACCAATCTGGAACAAAATTTGATTAGGCAGCTATTGTGATGCTATCAGATAAGCACTGGACAGCTAACCTCAAGCAATTCAAACCCACCAGCAGCTCCTTAGAAACCCTACATAGGGTTGCTATGGGTCAGAACCAACTCAATGGCACTTAACAACAACAACAACAACAACATGAATCTAAGCAATGTACAGGATACAAAGTAGGATAAGATACAGTTGGTGCTTCTGGCAAGTTCACAAACTATGTACTGAAACAACAAACTCATATAACCCATAGTGCCAGGCAAGGGAGAGACAGATGACGAGACAACAGTGAGGTACAGACTAACCTAGCTCTGCCTCATCTTGTAGGGGAGACAAAACAGATGAAATAAATAGTATGTTCCAAACAATCACCCACAGATCACCCACAAATTGCAAAGGGAAAACTGTCCATAATGAAAAAACTAGTCATCAACCAAGCAATCAAATGTAGCCTCACAAAAAATGAAAAAACCTGACTCTTACTCATCTTGGTGGTGGTTGTGGTTGTATGCCATGGAGTTGGTTCTGATTCATAGTGACCCTGTATAGTTTCTGAGGCTATAAATCTTCATGGGAGCAGAAAGCCTCACCTTTCTCCCTCAGAGTAGCTGGTAGATTTCAACTGCTGACCTTGTGGTTTGCAGCCCAACCAGGGATCCTCTACTCATTATTGTTGTTGTTATTGTTAAGTGTCGTTAAGTCAATTCCGACCCACTGTGACCCTGTATAGGGTTTCTAAAGAGTGGCTAGTGAGCTTGAACCACGGACCTTGTGGTTTAAACCGACCTTGCAATCTAGTGCATAAACCCAATATACCACACCAGGTCTCCTTACTAGTGTGATGCAATGTGAAATCCATTAGCATTACTCATGAAACTCATGAAATAGTTTGTCAAAAGTGTCTAATTTAAAATGAACCAAGACTTTAGATCTAACTTCCGGTTGTAGGAAATACAGGGGCAGAGGAGCAAGTTAAATGATACCACAAGGAAACATTTAAAAAAAAAAAAAAACAATTCAGAATGGAGTCCTGATGTGGTGCTGTGGGTTAATGTGCTTGACTGCAAAGTCAGTCTGAATCACAAGGTTTGTTTGAATCACAAAATTGGCAGTTGAAAGGATAAAGGAGTGGATTCGAAACAATGGAAGCCCAAATTAAGTGGGCTTGAAGATAAATTTCTCAATATGATTTAAAAAAAAAAAAAAAAAAGAGCCCTAATAGCATACTGATTACATATTGGGCTGCTAACCACAAGTTCAGCAGTTCTAATCCACCAGCTGTCCAGGAGAGAAGATAAGGCTTTCTGCTCCCATAAAGATTTACAGTTTTGAAAACCCTAAACAGAGTGACGGTGATTTGGAACCGACTCAACAACACACCACCACCATTGCCACAGTATACTAGAAACACAATCATAAAAAAGAATGAAAAAACCCGAAGAAAGCCTAAAAGTTATGTGGGACACCATAAAGAGGAACAACTTACAGGTGATGAAAATTCCAGAACAGGAAGAGACAATAAAAAGCACAGAAAAAGTTGTCGAAGAGTTGTTGGAAGAAAACTTACCTAACATTATGAAAGACAAAACAATAAGCATTCAAGAAGCTCAATGAACCCCAAACAAGTTAGACCCCAAAAGAAAATAACCAAGACATATAATCAAACTCTCTAAAACCAAAGACAAGGAATGAATCCTGAGAGCAGCTTGGAAAAAAAGTGAAGTTACCTACAAAGGAGAACCAATAAGACTAAACTCTGATTTTTCAGTAGAAACCATGTAAGCAAGAAGGCAATGGAATGACATACACAAAACTCTGCAAGAAAAAAATTGCCAACAAGAAAAACATTGCCAACCAAGAATCATACACCCAGGAGGCAGGGCTTAATGGCAGATTAGAGAGAAAGGTTGTGCAGATCTCCACCAGTAATTATACGGAATACTAAACGAAACAGCTTCAAAGGACGGTCCTGGAACTATGAACTTCATATAAAAGGATAATTTGGAGGACCGAAGGCTTACTACGAGTGCGTTTGGAACAGAAGCCAAAAAGGAGGTGTTTTCTGATTTGCGGCAGCCAGCAAGTCCCAGAACAGCCATTTTTGAACAGGAAAAAGCACATACAAAGTAAAGAGAGCACTCCCATCACATAGGTCTGACTAAGTCAGAGATAAAGGTGCGAATATTTCTTTTTCATTCTTTTATTTTCCTCTGTCTGCCCACCTTCACTCTGGAGACCAGAGGGGTTACCTGAGCAAGTGGACAGCCCCAGTGAAGGTTCTACTTCATATGTGCAATGATCAGCACAGCAAGGATCATTGGGTGCAGAATGGAGTAAGGGGGAGGAACCAATTGAAACAGCTTAAAATGGGAGTGTCTTTCAATATGGGTCAGCCAGCCCTGGGCTGGTTCTCACTAGGAGACACATCTAAACAGGCTTGAAGGGAGGTGAGAGGCAAAAAAGGGGGGAAAAGTCCAAAAACAAAACCTTGAGTTACATCGTAAGGTTTAACAAAAACATCTTGAAATTTCTCATGTAACTTTGAAGGCAAATAGCCAAAGAAGGGGCACTAAAGTCTTACTCATATTTTGCTACTTTTTTTTGTTGTTGTTGTTTACTGTTTTTGTTTTTTGGCAATTTTGAACTTTAGAGTCCAGTCTGGTTTTCTGATCCCTCTTTTATCTTAAAGGAACTCTTTCTCACTTTGACCCAAAAAGAGATAGCAATTGCCGTCATACAGCCAAGCTACAATCGCACCCTATAAAATCCCACCATCTGGGCAAGAACCAATACCAGCTGCCATATACCAGAACAATGTAAAAAATCAACACCTATAAAAATCACTCTGAGTTGAGTAGTAAGAGAAATGAAAAGAGAAGCTCATCTCCTGATCATATCTGCCAGGAGGCAATCAAAGAGCTTAAGAAAACACCAACATACATTCATCTAATTACAACAGCACCACAATGCCTAAAAAGCAACAGAAAATTTATGCCGATGTGCAGAAACAAGACAGAGTAGCTCAAACATGAGCTGGAGGTAGGCCTAGAATTTCCTTTGGAAGGCGTGCAGACTTTGGAACTGCCCAATAAGGAATTCAGGAGAATGATATTGAAGTACATACAAATGTTCCATGGAAAGGTTGAGGAAAATAAGGAAGAAATCAGAAAAGTGCTACGGAACAATCAAATAAGATAGAAATAGCATTGGAAACCATTGAAAACCTGCAAAAAAGAGGTCCAAACGATTAATACTAAAATATCAGAAATGGAGAGTACACTGAAACAGCAGGGATGGAAGCTGGAATCAGCAAGCTTGAAGTTAATACTGCTAAGATAGAAGAGCAAGCAGAAAAAAATCTGAAGAAAATCTAAGATTTATGTGGGACAACAAGAAAAGGAATAACCTCCAAGTGACTGGAATTCCAGGGCAGGAAGAGACAAAGAAAAGCACAAAAAAGATGGTCAAAGAACTGACGGGAGAAATGTTCCTAACATTTTGAAAAATGAGAAGATAAGCTTTCAAGAAGTGGAATAAACAGGACAGACTCCAAAAGAAAATCACAAAGACATATCGTAACCAAACTCTCCAAAATCAAAGACGAGAAAAGAATTCTGAAAGTGGCTCAGGAAAAACAAAATGTTACCTACAAAGGAAAACCAGTAAGATTAAAATCTGATTTCTCAGCAGAAAGCACACAGATACGAAGGCAATGTAAAGACATATACAAAAGTCTGAAAGAAAAAAACTGCCAACCAAGAATCATATACCCAGCAAAACTGTTCCTCAAATATAAAGCAGAATTAGAACCAGATAAACAGAAATTACAGCAGTTTGTAAAAACCGACCCAACTTTACAAAAAATAGGAAAAGGAGTCCTTTCGACTGAAAACCAACAACAGCAGACAACAACCAGAGATTGACATACACAGCAACACCAGCCAGAATTAAATTCAAATACAGAAGTATCCAGAGTAAATCAAAACTACAAGATTGAAAACAGAGAATCAGAGATATCAATCCATAATGAAGACAACTACAAAGCATTAAGAGGGAAAGTATAGTTACAGAAGGAAGTAGATTTTATGACAAAACATACTTTTTAAAATCGGGAAGAATTTAATAAATTGAATGGTAACCTCAATGACACCTTCACACCAAGTCAAGAAAAGGAAAATTCATAAAGATTTTGTAAGCATTAAAACAACGAAGAAATTCAGCTTAGCACAGGAAAATATTCAGAACAAAGAAAACTAGCAGCACCACAAAAAAACACATACAGCAAAATGACTGCAATAAATTCATACCTATTGATGATTATGCTGAGTGTCAACTGACTAAATGCATCAGTAAAGATACAGAGAATGGCAGAACTGATAAGAAACAAGGATCTTTCAATATGTCATCATACCTTACACACACACAAAAAAAACACAGATTAAAATTTTAAAGGATGAAAAAAATGTATCAAGCTTATGGCAATCAAAAATAAGTGGGAGTGGCAGTATTTATTCTAACAAAATAGACTTTAAGGCAAAAATGAGCATAAGAGACAATGGCATTAAAGGTCAACTGAACAAGAGGGCATACCATAATAAATATGTATGCTCCCGATAAAAGAGCCTCAAAATACATAAATCGAACTCTAATAGAACTGAAGAAAAAAATAGATAATTCCACAACACAGTAGATTTTAATACACCACTTTCAAAAAAGGACAGAACAACCAGAAACTCAACAAAGATACAGAGAAACTAAACAACACAATCA